GTAATGACCATGGGACCCCCCCCCCCCCCCCGCCTTAATTAATCCACGCAGACTCCACGCACTCGGCGCCCATCACACTCATTCCAAGCATTCGCATACGCTGGCGCCCACACCATCTCGTTCTTCCTTGGCACGCACACGGGTGGGACCCCCCCCTCCCCCTTTTTCCCCGCACCTTGACATTATAATTGGCCGTCTGCATGGGTCCTCGTTAAGTTTTAATTCACTTATCACATTTCGGTCTTGCCATAAATGCCCGTTTAAGCCCCGTTCAAACATATCACGATGATTTGCCAGCTTGACACCGACGCAGCTGCTGGGCCGACCACGAGTGTCAAAGCTGAACGGCGACTCGCTCCCTCGCCTGACCTCCAGGGTGACGGCTCCCTATTTGGACGACGCTTCCCACGTTCCGTCCACGATGGGCGGCTCCGCACTCACACGGCCGCACCCACCGCTCGCAGCTTTCCGCTGCCGCGCATGCGCCTTAGACGGCGCCTCGTCCAGCACGGAGGCGTCGCTTCCGGCGCTTCTGCGCCCTCGCCTCCCGTCCGCCGGAGCAGGCTTTGCAAGGCACCGCCCATAGCGCGTCCCTCAGAGGCCTGGAGGCAGACAGCGCGCTCATGGGACGGTGGGGCCTCTCGGCAGACGACGAGCGCCCGGTGCGACCTGCGTTCACGCCTTACGGTCTCCCCGGCCGGCACGCTCTGGAGACTCGGCCTGACCGGCCTGTCCGACGACCTAACTCCTCGTCGCCTTCCCTATGAGCGTCGATGACGGGATCTCTATCCGTCCCGAACATCCCATCACCAATCGCTCATAAGGCCCGGCGTGCACCACGTCGGGAGAGAGCGGACTGACTCCTGCCCTCTCCCAAGGCGGAGACACCACGGATAGACTCCGCTACCGCCCTGCACGATCGAGCATCCCAGGCGGCCCCCACGGATCCAAGGTCACTTCATGACCAACGCCTCCTTAGGCCGTCACGCCTGGGGTCAAGTGGGGAACGACAAAACGAGTCGGCCGTCTCAAAAAAAAAAAACGAAACTGTCTCGTGCCGCGCTACCCACAAACGTCTTTCTGCGTAAAAGCAGGACTGCGGTCGTCTGGCTCCTCGTCCTCGTCACGGCCACGCCGGGCTACCCACCTGCTGGCGGGCCACGAGCGGTGGACTGCTCCGTCCACCCACATCGCGGCAGACAGTCATCTGCCGGCCGGCCGCGGGTGCCCGCGCCGCCATCGCGCACCGTCGGGTGCTGCCCTCTACCGCAATTGCCCATAGCGACTGACAGATGGCGTCCGTGTCACCTCCCGAACGCCGGCCCGGGCGACGCCCCGCGAGTAACCTCCGGTCCCGCGGAACTGCGGGAAATCCTTCGAGATGCCGCGGGCCCGGCACACCTCACCGCTGTGCCTTAACATCCCGGCGCAGGCGGTCTCTCTCCGACCCCTAGCCTACATACCGGGGTTACATCCGGTTCGGTGAATTCGACGCCATTCTCCCCATACCGAACCCCCGGCGTCCGTGTCGGATCCACCTCGGACGACATGGGTATTCGTTAACGAAACAGTGGCGCGGGACATCAATTGGTCAGAGAACGACCCAGACCTAGTGAAAGGAAGAGGGAGACAGAAGCCGGGCATTACACGCGCTCGCTGAGGGAATCCGCGCAGCATGCGCGGAGCTAGACCGCGCTAACCTCTTACGCGAGAAAGGCCGAGCATGCGCGCTGGATCGAACCCGTGAGGTTCCAGCTTATTGCCTCTAACTATTGACACTAAACCGGCTTTTAACTATTGACAAAGAAAACGAAACGAGAAATGTACGGCGAACGGTCCACCTAACCCACGCCCTGCCGCCATAGCATGCCGGCGCGGCCCATACATCGCGTCCGGCCGCGACGATGGCCAGACGAGGGCCCAGACAAGCCGATGCGCCTTTGCATGGCTTCCGCCATTGGTAAACTCCGGACGCCTACGGGGCATGCCAACGAACTGGCCGCTGCGCCCAAGCATGCGTTCCGGGCTCCGGATACGACCCCGCCTAACGCCGGGCCGCGTGCCCTCCCGCCGCCCGAACCGACCTCGTCCAGCCTCGCTCCCTCACTAAACCATCGCTACGCAATCCAATACCTGTATTTATACGCAAAGACAACGAAGCCAACCATCACCCATAGACCGCGACATACACACCTACCACACTAACACCCCCGAGCCCCTCCCCCTTTCCCCGGCTCTGCGGCAACCGCGGCTTACGCCGCCCGGTGGGAAGCGGGGCGGAAGGGCACACTCGGGGCGCCAGCCGTCCATGGCCCGGTAAGATGGAATGAGGGGGGGGGGGGTCAACGGTCTGGGCACTCACATCGTGTGCGCCGTCGTCGGTGACTGTTGCCCGCCGCGTCGAACGTCGCAACTCTTGGTCCGTACTCCTCGCACTCTGTACTGCCTGGTCCGTCTCTCCTCTCACGAGGCCCTCGCATGATAATTTATAAGATTCCGATGCCTTTCAACCGGGTCGACCCGCCCCCGTCGCCCTGCGTGACCCAATCGGTTTGCCGCCTCGCCTCCTCCGTCCAATCCGTCGCCGGGCCGGCATGCTCCGCTGCCAGAGTCCGTCCCTCGACGTGCCCCTAGGCCAGATCTCGGGCGTGGTGTCGCTGGCGACGACGCAAGGCCAGCCCGCTCTCGCCTCGGGCGGGCCCTGCGCGTCCCCCACTGGCCCAGTTCCCACGTGGCGCGGCTCTCGAAACGGCATCTGGGGCGACGGCGGCGCCTGCGCGGCGGGGGTTCTTGGAGTGGTTCGGGGGGAGTGTGATGGAGGGGAGCGGGGAGCCCTTGATCACAGCCGGCTGGCTCGCGTTCCCACGCTCTGTGCGCGGAACCCCTCCGGTCCCGGGCGGGCGGCGCGCAGAACAACGAGACTTGAAAAATGTACGCCTATAGCATCTGGAGCGACGGCGGCGCCGGCGCGGCGGGGGTTCTTGGGGTGGTTCGGGGGGGAGTGTGATGGAGGGGAGAGAACGCGACCACGGCCGGCTGGTTCGCGTTCCCACGCTCCGTGCGCGGAACCCCTCCGGTCCCGGGCGGGTGGCGCGCAGAACAACGAGACATGAAAATGTACGCCTACATATATCCCTTAGGCAAAATAACATTATTTGTACCAGGAAAACTTGGTATAGCCATCAAGACTTGGATCAGTCATGACTTGTGCAGGTGTTTTTACGAGGAAGGGACTTCTACAGCTAATTATAGCTGATTATATGATACAAAATAACGCGGACGGTTGTGGAATTATTGCCCGTGTTATTCTGTAATTTCTCAGTGAGTGTGCGACGAGCAGAGTCCGTGTTCATGGGTTTTTACTCTGTCATTCAGGCGGGGTAGACGCGCCCTGCTTGATTCATTGTAGCCATTTGGTGTGCACGGGCAAATAGCTACACTGTTTGCATAAAGCCGGTCGTCTCCGAATATTATTATCCGTGCGTTCGTCTGTATTATTTTGATGAAATGAGAACTGTGCTGACCTGGTATTCCATAAGCATGCGTAATGTCCAGCGGCATTCCCCGCTTTGCGAAGGACTATGGTTCTCCTTTTTGCGTAAGAAAGCAATACAAGTTAGGAAAGCTACACAAAGCCGGAAAATGCGGACAGCAGAGTGGTGGCCGAAGACATATATTCGGTGCCATATCCAGTCGGGGATTTTTCCACAATTTCGCAATCCGGTTGCATAGTTAAGAGTCGCATAGAAGTGTGAAATCACCTATAAAACCTTGAAAGGAGGTCATTTCCCCGCACACCGCACATAACTATACATCAGCGACCAGCTGGGTAACGATTTCCATAGCCTCACGTCTGTAGCATATGTTTTCATAAACCGAGAGCAGCTCGTGGCCGTCTGCGGCGGGCTTAGAGCCACACATTCCAGTATAGCACAGGCGCCCGAGCTGTCGCGGTGCTTACAACAGTGCTGACAACGGTTCGCCCCGGCGTGGAACGCCGTGTCGGGTCCGGACGTCAACGTGCTGACAGTTAGAGGACGTGCATGTATTCTGGGTGCAAATAAGGATGTGTGCATCGTCTGCATGAAAAGTCGAACTTGGTTCGCGTGATGATGTGGCGAATCCGTGTAAACACAATGCCAGTGGGTACTGGATCAACAGGAAAAATGGACGTTGGCGACAACCTTGGGCAACCTGGCGACTTCATTCATCCTTGCCGTTCACTTTGCTGATATCCCGCCTACTCTGAGTAATGCCAGCAGGACAGGTGGCGTTCCTGTGTGGTGAGGCCGGCTATGGTACAGTTAAGCGCGTAATATCATGTTTAGGAAACAGTGTCAGCCAGCGTGCCTCAATAGCAGATGCGGCACTGCTACAAGCAGTGCTGTCATCACGCGGCATGCTGTAAAGCTGTAGTTGTGGGGCATACTGTAGACGGCAGCACCTATTGCAGTGGGCCGGGGTTTCAGCCCTCGCTTCATGCTGGCTTATTATTTTAAGTGGCGTCTCAGATGCGAGAGCCCAGTGGGTCCGACGCTACTTTCCTGAAAACCAGCGCGGTTTGCCCTACACACTCACGGCTTTTCATCTGTCATCGTCGCTTGAGGGTGGAATAAACCAGGAGAGAGCGTCTCGCAGCTTGTCCCTCCCTCCGGCTGTCAGAAAATCTGACAGCCCTGCACAACGGCACACGCAAATTGCGTGTAATCTCAGTGCTGTGCTGAATCCGGCACCGATGATCGTTTGAATGTTTTCATGGAACAATTCGCTCAGTAGCCTGCAATACACCTTCACATTGTCCGCGCCGGCGGGAGGTTGGATTCGGGGATGGGTGCGCTACGATGCGAATGCGCTATGACGCTATGACGATGCGCTACGAGTACAAGAACAACAGACATAGATCCCCGTCTTTTGAAAGTCCATTCGTACGGCCTTTGCGAGTCACTCTCAAACATAAAAATTAAATGCTAATACCCAGCCACACACAGCTAGTCAGTCATGCAAGGAAGTTTAATCACTGGCAACGGCATCCATCGCACCGTTCTTAACGTGTATTTCCCGTAGAATTCAGCGCAGCACGACTTTCAGTACAAGTACCGTAAAATGCACGGAAAGAATGGTCATAACAAGCGAGCGACAGTAGCCAAAAATGTCACATGCTAACCACAGCCCCCAGATGCTGCTGATGCTCGGCAAAACTCACATGTAAAGCTAGGATAGCACACCTCATACAGTGGAAGTTGTTCGACCGAGATTTATGCACACCACTGCAAATATAAATATGGATGGAGTCACATGACCCAAACACAGAACCCGACTAGAAGCTCCTCCCCTCCCCCACCCTCAGCGTAACAACGCAAGGCGGTCGGTGCGCCACAGCCAGCGACAGTGCTGTCACAGTTAGCGACTGTACTGTCACAGTTAGCGACTGCACTGTCACAGTCAGCGACTGTACTGTTCGAGTTTATCACGTCAGGTGCTGACATCTGTCGGTCAGAAAGCAACACTGCGAGCATTTTGTCTACGTACATTTTGAAAGGGTGGAATACCGCGCACTGAGTCGATAGCTATTAGCTCGCAATGTCACGACGTTTATTTTTCAGCAGGACAGGATCAGTACCCTGGCTCGCGGTTTCCATTCAATGGTGGCGTCCCCTTCGTTTCAGCACCGCACTGTTACGATCTCTCTTCACCCCTTCGACCCAGCTCATCATCCTCCACTCCCAAGGCCTCGCGACAACTCTGCTCGCAGCTGCACACCAGGCTGCGGGGCCGAGCCGTCCTCCACGGCTGGTCCCGGACTGAGCCGAAACACTCGCAGCAGAGGTCGCGGGAGTCCACCAATCGTGCGAAGCACCACAACTGCGGCACCAACGAGCAGACTGGTCGCCGAGCCTCCCGAGCCGCCGGGCTTCTCGAGCCGCCGGGCCTCTCAAGCCGCCGGGTCTCTCAAGCCGTCGGGCCTCTCGAGTCGCCGGGCCTCTCGAGTCGCCGCTCGCAGTCGCGCCAGCCTCATTTCCCAGCCACGAAGTTCTTATGGTAGTTTCGCGTGAACTCAATCATCAGGTCTTGCGCACACTCGGGCAACTCTGACAGGAAGCGGCCCGGCGAGCCGCCGAAGCGCGCGAAGCACGGCACCACCGTCTCCGGAGACAGCACAGTGTTGTCCTCGATGTAGCAGCAGTCCTTCAGGATGCAGCGACGCCCCTGCCATGAAAAAGAGCGCATACGATGGGAAAATTGGGAGGACCATGACGTAGTATAGCAATCTTAACATTTCCAAAGATCCATGAAGAAGTTGGGTGGAACATGACGTACGCAGTTCTAAGTTACAAAATGCCAATGAGAAATTGGATAAAACATGGCACAGCATGCAATTCTTTACGTTTCAAAATGTGAGTTGGGATTTAGTAAAGCATGTAACCTGAAACAGTATTTTCACCATTTCTGGCTGAATTTGATCTATGCTCCACACATGATGATGATATGATCGCCCATACCATATACCCGTGACTTATATCCTTCCACAATCGCCCAGGTCCTGAGCCTGACACATCACTCGGGACGGGCATCAGCGGCAGCCTACCACGTGGATCTGAGCCTGACACATCGCTCAAGACGGACATCAGCGGCAGCCTACCACGTGGATCTGAGCCTGACACATCACTCAGGACGGGCATCAGCGGCAGACTGCCACGTGGATATCAACAGGACAAGGGACAGCGAGCACCAGCGGCCGGGGGCGCCGCTCAGACGCCTACGGACAGGTGGACAGGAACACAGAGCGTCAGAGGTCAGCGCAGGTCAGCGCGCAGGGCTTCCACCCAGAGCCAGCGCCGGCGAGTAGAGACCAGCAGCGCAGAGCCGTCGGCTGACGGACACCAGAACAGCCGTTCACTGCTCACCATGGGAGTCAGTGGGTCAGCGCAAGGATTTCTCGGAAGGTCTAGGGATTTGATCCAACAGTCAAAGAGGTCTATAAGGTGCAAAATGTACAAGATGTAAATGTAACAACAAAATGTAAATGCAACCACTTGTCCACTACTTTTATGACCGCCACATTTAGCAGCCTTCACAATTATTATATATATATATATATATATATATATATATATATATATACATCAGAATTAAACAACTTCACACTTTGGGCGAGTGCCACATCAGTAACATCTACCACAACATTCAACAGCTCACAAAAGTACAACAGACGATCAGAAAACCCCTCGCTGCGCACCAGCCAGCGCCACTTACGATAACGCAGTTGGCGCCGATGTACACGTAGCTGCCGACCGAGGCGGCGTTGACTACGGAGCCCTCGCCGATGAACACATGGTCGCCGATGTGGGTCGGGAAGAAGGCGACGCCCTTGCTGAACTTTTTGAACGGCGGCCGCAGCACCGCCCGCCGTCCCACGATGCAATAGCTGACGGCCAGGACGTACCGTCAGCCTTCGCGGAGTCCGCACGACACGACACGGCACGGCACGGCACGGCACGGCACGGCACGGCGCGGCAGGACAGGATGTGACGCACGTGCGGTACCGTACCGCACTGGGTATCGCACACTGTGTTTTCACCGCGCGGTACGGCACATCACGATGTGGCACGACATGGTACAAATGCATGGCACGTGAAAGCAGAACTAGATTGCATGATACGACACCACAGAGGATGGAATCATGCATGGCATAACACGTGGTGCGACTTGTGGTGTCGCACCAATCGACGCCACCGACTGCCACCTTGGCTGGAGCTGATACCATGGGCATCATCAGCACGAGCTGTCACAGTTCTGGGAGACTGAGGGCGGGCGAGGTGGTGCTCACTGACCGTCCCGTTCGAATGCTGGCCAGGTCACCCCGAATGATGGCCCCATCACTGACCGTCCCGTTCGAATGCTGGCCAGGTCGCCCCGAATGATGGCCCCGGAGTCCACGATGTTCTTGCCAGTGAGGATGGTGTTTTGGGAGCCACACAGAACAGACTGGCGGCTCACCTTGTTGCCAGTGGTCTGCAAAATATCAACATACCATGTAATAATTTGTATGCTTCTTTGAAAGTTTAGCCACCTCTTGAATACAACAGACACAAACATCACTGAAGTACCAACAATATGATAACAATCAGCATTTCTTTGAACCGATGAACATCTATAAAGCAAAAGTAGACATCAAAGCTTTTAAACTACACACATGACCTATTTGACAAAACTTGAGATGCACAAGGAGTCTAATCAACAGGGAATTTATGCCATAGGCAGGCAGTAATGACAGGAGACTTACTGTTTCAATAAAGCTCCCAGGCTCATAATAAACAGGCTGAAGTTCCATGACTTGTGAGCTGTACTGGCCAAGCTGGAAAATAGAGCAGTCATGGTTGACCAGTTAACCCTGCACAGCTCCAACAGCTGGTCAAAGTCAAGTAAGGCTGGAATGAAATAACAAAAATGATCCCTGATGTGAAATCAACAGCTTTGTTAAGTTTAGCCTAACATTTCACTTGCCACAGCTGATTTCAAATTATTAAAACTGGTGTATTTGAAGGTACAATGATTGCCTGTTACTTTTTTGAACCATGTTAAAAGGACTGGCATTTTGCATATGTGGATACATACTGGGTGACTGGGGGATACACATGCATATATGTCATCAAATGATTTCAAAGATTTTGTTCAGACACATTTACTGGATCAATCTATGGAATGAGTCATGATGCTAAGCAGTGCTTCTATCACAGGTTCTACCCACTATCTGAAGCATAAGTCACAGTTGAATGACATAAATTTGCAGTGAAAGCTTAGCATGAAATAATGGTTGGCAGTTTAAGCCCTCCTAAGCTTCCATATCATGTCAAATATACTTTGTGGCTACAACATAAGGATACCTGGCTAGCATCATTTCAAAGTTGCATGTTTTTGCTTGGGTCAAGGATCAAATGCATCCCAAACATTTTTATTTTGTATGAACTGTATGATGAAATGAGCACTGCAGATTTAATATCAGAGAAACAGTTGTAAAAACTGTATGTCTAAAACAGTTCATATATGAATCTATATGATTTTTGATATAAACTAAGCAAAGCACATCAACTAATGTTGAGCTCCTGTGGGTAAAGTTAACATCGCTTGACTCTGAGGACAAAACACAACATTTTCACTCTTAACATCACAAGGGAGTCATTGAATATTATGCTGTACTAAAGTGAGAGGGAAGCATAATTTGCCTCTGACATGTCAATGATTCACCACTGACATTATGCAGCTTGACATAACCTGTCATGGCCACACCAATGCAATTTAGGAACAATGTAATCATGCATATTGCCACTTGTTTAAGGTCAAAAGCCATGAGACAGTCAAAGGGAGTGCCACTTCAACATATGGGATGGGTGCCAGGCAGATGATATCATTCTGGACAGGAGTATACCTTTCCACACTCTACACAATGGGGGGAGGGGCAGCTTTGAGAGGACAGTGGATAAAGCCTGGGGAGAAACCTATCTATTGGGCATCATGGGAGTGGACAATCATTTTCCGCTGCCTCAGCCTCCCCTTCTCGCTGAACTCGTTTTGTGAAACTACGCCCCTGTCCAGAACTTACATTCGATACGAGGTGTTACCAGTTGCAGGGTTTCCTGCTGCAGCCTAACCAATAGGCAAGGTTTAAGACCTTTAAGCGTTCGTATGACTGGCAGGGCGTGACACTTAACATACGCAGAGCGGAGCCTCCCACCCGAGACCGTTTCACGACAGTGAACCCTCGCGGTGAGCTGAATCACAGTTAGCCCGACCTTCATTTACAGCGCAGATGCGACAATCCAGTTCTGCTGATGTTTATTCCGATAGCCTTGGTTTATTCCCAACATGGTGAAGTTGTTCTGTATGATAACAGCCATGTAACTATTTCAACATGGGGCGGCTCGGCCTCCCGTCCATTGTCTGATTCGCTTATGTAACAACCAGGGGCAGATCCCAAAAATTGCGCTCGAGGGGGGCATCCGGCTTGGGGGAAATTTTAAAAGGTACTCTGATTTTCAAAAACCCATCTAATTTTCCTTTCATGCATTGAAGAGTGTTTTACAACAAGCTTTATCGTAGTCAATTATAAGTCGCTTGGATATTCTTGAGGTCCAGCAAATATGTAATTTTTTACTCATCTTGGGCTTTGTTAGGGGACGCCCGTTTTTTTTTTCCTCTTGGACCCCTTCTTACTGACAGTCAGACCGTTCTGGCCGAAGCACCGAAACAAATGGATTTCTTGACATTTATTTCGAAATATCCTGGCGATCTTTTGCACTCTGCATGGCAGCTTCACTAAGTTTTGTGTAGTTATGCCTCTGGAGGAAGTCAGGATTGGGGGCCAAGCTGGAATGTGCAGAGAATTGGAGGGACAAAATGCCGCCTTGTGAGAGCGGGGGGGGGGGACATGTGATGGACGTAAATGAGCCCCACGACACGATTAGTTGAAATCTGCGTGGGCTGGCCAAAACGCATCCTTTAGCAGCAGTGCCCACCATTTTCGTGCATAAGTGGTAGGCAAATAAAAGCGACTTAATTTATTCAACCAGCTGCTGGCGCCGTGAGTCCCTTTGGCGCCAAATGTTGTACTTGGCGCGCCAAATTTTGCAAAGCTGTCCGTCCCTGGAGCATACTTTGACACCCAGCGTTGCAGTCTACAAAGGTCGCACAGAGTCGACTATGTTTATTTCTAAGACTTGCGAGCGCGTATCCCAAGCCATGTTACATAACTTTTGTCACTAACAAATTCTGACTGAAGTTTGAACATTCTCAGGCGAACATGTCAGTACGAATATGCGACCCCATTTAAATCTACAGTCAGCGTTCACGGGCCCCCACAATCTCTGTAGAACCCATAATATTCCGGCAAAGCATCCGAGTTCTGTCGGTTTCGAAACAGCACGCCGAACCATTGTGACATAAAAACAGCGGCGCGTTGTTTCATGCAGTCATTTAACGCCCACATCCTTCAGTTTATTGACCTCACAATGCAAACCTGCTACATCTTCTGGAATCTTCTGGCTTCTGTTCAGTAAGAAATGCAACATTATCAATGAAACAAAAAACATACCCTTCTCAAAACCAAGCGGACTTTACCTGATGATTGTTCATGGGGGATTGGGCTTTCACCATCATGGGTCTCATGTCAACCTGGTAACCCCCCCCCCCCCCCTTCGTCCTTACCAAGAATCTGGCAGCGTGCCCGGCTGGTCGCACGTTTTAGACCGGTTCTCATGCCAGGCCGAGATGCCTGAGCGCCTCCCGAATGGTCGCTATCGATGAGACGCTTCCACGAAGCCGGGGCTCTCGAGCCCAATCAGGCGTGGCCTTGAAGATAACCTGTAGACAATAAGACAAAAACACGCAGTGGATGCATCTCATTTCAGCGTTCGGAAGAACCAGCGACCAATTAGAAAACGACTCGCATTGGGGCTGGCCGATCCTGGCCCGGTGGACCCACGGTTCAACAACTCCTCGAGAAGGTTTTTCCCAGTTCCGAGGAACCATGCTGTAAACAATTTAAACGTGTTTCGTCCTTAACGATATCTGCTGGCAAAAGTTTGGCAAGATGCTTTACATTTTTCATCAAATTGACTTACAGAAATTGCTACAAAAAACGGCGCTAGCGCTGGGCCTTCGGTGCATGAAAAAGCGACAGAGTACATCGACATATGAATACAGCCCCATGCATCCATGAGGGCCAAGCCCATCACTTGTTGCACTGAACGCCACCTCCAGCAAAACGCGGATCCTTGCTCACTTGCTCATGGACGCCACCCATACAAAACGCGGTGTAGCGTCTCCGACTCGAAATATACTGCTCACTTTTGCGGTTTCTAGTTTTCGCATGAGGATTGGCTCCAGATCAAAACTATCTACAGCTTCTGCACAGGAGGCTGCAACTGGCCATCGCCCTGGTTCCGCTCATGTACCATACACCGGTTTTTGACAGTTGCCTCCACCCATCTGAAAGAAAAATGGCAACAACTTTGGTATCAGGTGAGCACAGACATCCATGGCAACGCAAGAAGTAAGCTTAGGGCGGTAAAAACAGAGTGGGTGACTAACCCTCCTCACACTGCAATATCAGAAAAGGAGGAGTCAGTCTCTGATGCCTCCGAATCGTCCACGCCTATGGAACGTGCGGTTTTCGTCTGCCCGGAGGTCAAACGCCATCGTGTCTCACGTGCGATCACCCAGGCAGTCATTCATGGGCTCGCGCAGTGTCATCACATGGAAGCTGAGCGGCGTCGCTGTCCCAGCGCCTACACACAGCGGAGATGGTCTCCGCGCCCCATCATTGGGGAGGAGCCGGTCTTTGACACGGAGATCATTTCAGATTTCATGGAGCATGCTTCCATGTTTCCACGCTTCCGAAAGTGCTTCACGCTCTGTATGCGCGCGTCGACGAACGGAAGATTGCCTGACCAATAATTGGGCGTAGAGTGACCGCTGCAGTTGTCGCGCCCTTAAAACCATATTACCATACCATACCAAACTATCTACACCCAAATAACGACATGCCAAGCCGTTGACTCTGAGTGGTCCATGGAAACCAGTCATCATGGCGATCATCAGGATGGTCCCCTCTATCAGGACGAGCGTTAAGCTGTCGAATGGTAAGCCGTATATATTCCATTTAAAAGGGGCTAGAGCAAGTCGCGTTCCCGAACGCGGCAGTGCATTTTCCATCATGTCCGTCCGCGTTACCATTTCATCCCTGGACATCATCGCGGATTCCATTAGTGTCCACTTGCCTTGAATGGCCTGCGAGGTCCAGGGTGATGTATGCGAGGGCGGCGTCTGGCCCTGTCAATGTTGGATCCGATGGTGCTGGCGATGCGTTGATCGTTGATCGCTTCACTGAATTTGCTGACGTTTCAGAATCTGTGACATGTTGTGTTGCCGTTGTTTGATGTGCCGCCTTCCCTGATCGCAGCTGATCAACCGCCGAGCTCATTTTTCTCTCCAAAACGCCTGTGTACCGTTTTATCCGTTCATAACCGACCTCCTTGTGTATCAAAATCACCATCCAGGCCTGGACTAGTAACGTACTGACTAATCATTTTTAAAAAAATGTTTTGTTGATCCCCATGACTCTTATGGTACGTTAGAGTGTTTAACATTTGTATGGGCTTTGAACTAAAATATCCATCTTGAAGATCATTTGGTGCAATCCATGGCCCCGCCCTTCTAAGGATCTAAGCCCTTCTAGATTCTGAGCTACACGCTGGCGAGGATGTGCAGACCATTTCGGGCAGACTATTGCAATGTCACCAAGGCATCCATGACGCCATACAATGTCATTCAAATCTGCATACTGTGGACATATCTAAAAACATAAATGTTGCATGATTCATAGCGGCATTTTCCGCTTAAAAGCCCGCCAATAGTGATAAGTGAGTTTAATTCATCATATGTGATGCCTGCTTCGTTATTGTCCTACGTGGAGCGTATCCTTTAATACTTCAATTGCCACGCAAGTGTCTTAAAATCATGTATTATGCTCTTGTTTTACACCACGGCGATCAAACTCAATATGGGCAATCGATAAAGGACGCTTTGGTAATTCTTAACATACTAACACCTTTTAGCCTTGGAATATTTACTTTATATGAATACATGACAAACACCCTGTAAATTTATGGCAGAACATGGGCGCCAAGTAACCACGACAAATTATACCTTCATACACACACAAAGCAAACACCAAGGGGTTCAAGTGACTCCCGAAGGTGATTTCACAAAGTCTGATCAGTTCGGCAGAAGCAAACAACAAAAGCAAACAGCTTCCACCGCGTCAGCGGTTGGGATTCCGACGAGGCTGGAACGGGACGAGATGGCGCGTATTTCCCAGAGCTGAGCAGGTTTCGGGCGAACGTACCGGCCGGCCGACCTCGGCGGGGACGGGCGGCGGCCGACGAGACCACGCACCGCCGCGGGCGGTGCGTGGTGTTGTTCACCGGAAGAGCGGGACGGCCCCAGCCGGAGGGCGGACCCGCCCGGGGTTTCCCGCCGCCCTCTCCTCCCTCTCCTCTCTTCCTCTCTCCACCCACCGGGTACTCCTTCAGCGCCGTCGACCGCCGGTCAGTCAAAGCCAGGGTCCGACGGTGTGGGGTAGACACAGCAGCGGCGCACAGGTGGGTGGTCAGCTGAGCGGACGTGCGGACAGGTGGCCGCTGTGGATTGTGCGTGGACAGTTCACTCGGGCTGGCCAATATCGTTTAAACTTCTGGTTGAAGCACTCAAACGCCGATCACTTATGTGTAACGTGGTTGCTGCGACTGAAAGCGGGTGCTAACAATAAAGTGGTCTGGCTGCGTGGCTGGGAAGCCATCGGTGCGTGTTTCGATTCCCTTTAGTGCTCACCCCTTCTGCCTGGGTGAGAAGCAGCCGACGCCATCTAGCCTCAGCACTTGGATGCGTCGTAAGGCCTCAATGATTATAACGGCCGAAAACCAAGCTGTGGGCTGTAAGCGAATGTGTCCATGTGCTTCATCCTGAAATTTAATCTCCTAAGCGTTGCGGTGAGATGCAAAGCCAAAAATGACAGCATTTCAGTTGTTAGTGACTTACCTAGGTTGAAAGTCCTCTTCGAAATCAGTTTTGTTCTGCTCGTTCCCACAAATGAGATAGCAAACCTTTTGGTAGGTTTAGTGCTTTCAAGTGACCTCGCAAGCATGTTGGCACGCTGCCTGCCTTGTCTCCGGTACGCACCTGTGGTCTGTCCTTTCCGACCACTAACCGTCATTACTGCCCCGGCCAGCATTTCAACATGAAGGTGGTGCTGGTGCTTTTGGCTCTTGCGTCGGTCGCTGTGGCTGCACCTCAGTCCGTGAGTAATTACCTAGGCCAGCTTCGGCTGCAGTATTCTAAAGACAGTGCAGATCTGGGCTGACAGTGTCAATTGTGGATTCACTCTGCCCGTGGTGGATTGTGAAGACTGACCAAGTGTTCGCTGGCTCTGCTATGCAGCCTGGTGTGCTTATTGCCTAGTAACTAGCCAGTCTTATACTTGGTCTGTGACGCCAGGTGTCTGGCGTCCAGTCGGTTTTGTCTGATCAAGTTAAGGTCTAGACTGGCTGTAATTTTTAGTGGGATGTAACTTACAAAATGTACCGTCTAATGCAAAGTGTGTAGATTTTCGTGTTTGACTTGAAGCGTTGATCCCGGTTAAACACTGGAATGACTAGTGTCTAGTTTGCTCACGGGGCGACCAATCACCACGGTTTGGCGATCTGTGACAGTACAACCGTCGGCGCGGGACCAACGCCTCGGGCGGCGTCGTCGGCGGACCCGGGGTCACCAGCGTCAACGCACAGGTCACCAATGCTAACTCCAACCGACCGGGCACAGTCTCCTTCAACGGCGGCTTGGCTTTGGCCTCCAGCCAGCAGGTAAACAGCCGGAGCCGCGACGCTGGGCGCCGGATCGTGTCCAGAATGCGGATGGATGCGATGCGCGGTCGTAAACAGGGTCACAGAAGTCTGGAAGGGCCGCAGCCGCGGGCTCCGTCTCCGGCGGACAAAGAGGAGGCGCAGGTGGCTGACCATTGGCCCGCCTCGGTGCACTGGCGGCAGATGTGGTGCGCATGCGCGCGGCAGCTGACAACTGGCCTGTCCCGATACGATCATGGACATGGTCGTATTCGGAGCATGAATTTTTACACGTATTTTATGGTCTGAGCATAAATATGTGTTAATGTAAAATGGTAGGCAGCTTCTAAAAACCCGATTTCATGAACGGTGCTCTTGCAATTAGCGATGTCATGCAGGCTGTTGAACACCAACTTAATTAGAGCCCATTATGCGTCAGGTATATTAGCAGGAGACCGTCTCGTCTTATATGCGTGTGTGGATCAATTGAAAACCGGCCGATGGATTTTTGTGACTGGTTGGTCTTCGTTTCCCTTGTATGAGTTGGTCACAGTTGACTTTTCACTACGTCGATAAGATGCTCACTGACACACAAATCTAGCGAGTTGATCACAGCCGGCGTGCTGCCGGTCAGTTTATTTGTAACGTCTTTCCGTGTTTCACGGCGGCATGGTGGACTCCGTCGCAGCCTGTGTTTCACGGGAGGTCATAAATTCCGTTTCGCCTCCTCAGGTGAACGGCTTCGGCAGCAACATTGGCATCAACCAAGCGCAGGCTATTAGCCAGAACATCGCCATCCCCGTGCCTGGCTTTAGCAGCGGCTTCAATAGCAACCGCTTCAACAACCGCAGATACGGTTAGACACCCGGCGGCGGAAGCTGTTGGGTCTGGACGAGTGAGCGCCACCAGCTCACACCCCGGCCGGCGCTGCGCGGCTGCCATCTATCTCAACTGCTGATTACAACGGACGCATACTGGCAATCACACGCTGATTTGAATGGAAGCGTGCTGTTGATGATTGCCGACCTCCGCCTCACGCACAACCTTGTGGACCAATATTCATCCTGCCCCTCGATCTACAGGACAGTAGAGTGCATACGAATGTATACCTCGTTGCAGTTGTTTTGTCAGATGAGTGTTACGTTTGCTTCTGCGTGTAATACAACCATGACATTAAAACTACTGACGCCTTGTATTTGTACCCTTGGAATGTCCGCAAAACATATCCTAACACGGGCATACCACATTTCCCAACATGGAACAGGCAGTGATGCAAAACCGACAATTGCGACATCCGACGATGCAAGGCTCACACAAGCCTTATTCGTTGCCGCGTGCAAAAAAGCAGTCTTATCTTGTTTTGCTTCACGCCACGCTTCGAGCCCTCTCGCATGCAGATACACCAAAAAGCAGCCACAGACTTAAACCGACGCGGTAGGGTCCGCAAACCAACACGCGATAAGAGCTATCCCATGATTGAGTTTCCACCTGCACTCGTACTGCACTGCACTTCCACTGCACGCCAAATGAGGACGGAATGGCCAAGCAGTTAGCGTCTTTGCTTTCCCGTTGGGGCCCAGGTTCGAAACCCGGTTGCGCCCTGTCTCCCGAGAGCAAAAGTGGTTTCTGCAGTCACTGACGCTTTTAAAGGCTGCATCCGTACCTTCTGAATGGATAGATTTAGGGATTAGAGCTCACGCCAAGCAGTGCCTTTGTGTGTGCCCCAAACCCTACCACTAGATCGTGCAATCCCAAGTCGACGGCAGACTTTGGGAGCTAGATTTTGACGTACCGCAATGCACAGCACGGCCTTTGCTGCCTTCTGACGTCATCGGACTTTTAGTGCGACTGCTGCCACCGGTCGCAGGCCATACCTGTCGAAGGTTATCTGCCAAGGACAAAGGGCGAACGCCTAAAGCGGCTCGAACCCTCCCCCCCCCCCCCCCCTCCTCCCCCGGCCACGGCCGGGCAGGAAGGCAAGCGCTCTAGCCAATTAGAAAGTTAGCATCTCACCTTCCTGTGTTTTAAATTGTCGTCCTGTACTCCTTATCGGATATTGCCGATTCAGGTATTTAGCTTAGCTATTATTGGCTTTTACATTTCACGTTCGATAATTCACTGAGTTCTTTCTACCCTAGGCCTCCCAGGGGACGGCAGAACTCAAGGTTGAAAGTGGGTGTGGGGGCGCATCGAGGTGTTCAAGGCATTTTTCATGCAACACCATGATTTTACGCTAAATGCCGAAAAAACTTGTGAAACGCTCGTCTCAGCACTCTTCGTAGAAACGCCAAAGTTATCAATCGAGCCGCAACCTATTTCATCGTTACCGAGGCCCACGAGACGCCAGGGTCTCCAGACACGAGGCAGCGATGGATCCACTCATTGCCACTGTCAGTGAGAAAGCAACACGAAGAGAGGACGCCAGGAGGTGCCGCAGACCGTGGTCGCAGGCATGTAGACAGCGCCAGGTCGGCCCCCGTCAATGCCAGTAACCGAGGTCGGAAAATACTCGGTGCCAGAGCATCTTCCGCACTGCTGGATGAGACCTGGGAATGGGCTGCCCGGCGTCCGTCTGTTCACGTAGCACCTCTAACGTCAGAGGCCCGCTCTTCTTTGGCAACTGGAAACACAATCATCACTTCGAAAATGCCCATTCGACCTGCGGTGTAGCTACCCGACATATTTCCGTCAACGCCGAAGCCCATTCGTTAGCTGGTCGGAAGACGATGTAGTGCGGTAACCCGCGGTTGTGTGTATAATAGCGCCTAGCGACGGTCGACACGCCGTTAACGGCGCGCTGTTAACGGTCCGTTACGTGGAGCAAGCGGGCAGCTCTCGACCGGTCCGGTATGTTGAGCAAGCAGGCAGCTCTTAGCCACATATGGATGGCGTGATCAACAGCAATGTTTTGACAGCATAAGTGCAATCGAATAGCGTTACGTGCCCAATTGCTGCGCGCGTCATGTCTTCACCAGCCTGAATCAGCTGATCCTACTTTGCGCCCATATTGAACTACAGTTATTCTTCAGAACCACGTATCATGCGCTTACCTGTGACACCACAGGCAGCTTCTTCAATGGGTCGAGCTTGGCTATAAGAAGCTGGGCCCAGGGCCGCGTTCCCCATTGTCAAACGCCGCGCACAAGTTGCAACCAATGAGGTCATAGGTAAGGCGGCACAACGGTTCCTACGCCTTGTTGTACGATCGCTGATGTATGATGCAGGTGCTTGCGATGTCATAAGTAGCACCTCGGGCAGGTACAACCAGTTCACTGGGAAAGGGGCTGCGATGGCCTTTGGTTGGGATGGCCTCCCATTGGTCGCAGGTCACGTGGGCTCTCGAGCCAGCGGCGCGGCTCCCAGCAGACCACACGGCGCACACAGCGCGCCCCGACGTAGCAACGCATTCGCGCATGACACTGCCGAACTACGTCATCTTGCACATCGTCAAAGTCGAACATCGAGTGCACGGTGCCGTATGTGGTAATAATGGAATACACCTTTAGTGCCACGGTCAGTACCCTAATCGGTCCTCAATACTTGTTGTCTGCGGAGAATAAATGAGTCAGAGGAGCGAATGCCACAGAGAATCAACAGCCAGCTGGCGACTCGATAAGCAAAATTTCAACCTCCGCCCACCGCTGTTTGCGCAGCATTGGCGCACGAGTCATATTTTACTCAGTTGTATCGATCGCCCAACTTTGTCAAGGCATTAATCAAACTTCGCATGCAGGCTCGACTGTTGAATTTTATCGGTGCAGTTGACGTAAGTGGTGGTAACCAATCTTTATGTAACTCACTGCAGTCAGTGGCGGCGCGCCTGTTAAACTATACGTTTTCTACAAGCTCCATGTTAGAGGGGAGTTAGCTGACAGCGCGGATGTGTAGGTAACACTGCACAGATGATTACAGTCGGACAATGTTTTGGGTGCCTATTTTCCCAGGCGTTAACTGGATCGACAAAAGTGGACGCTGGCGTGGAGACCGGGAAAAAGAAGGATAAGCAGAAAAAGGTAGAGAGATGAGAGAGAGAGGGATAGAGGAAGAGAGAAATAGAGAGATATAGAGAGAGAGAAGGAGAGAGAGGAGAGAGAGAGAAAAAAAAGAACAGATAGATAGAAAAATAGAGAGATATTGAGAGAGAAGAGGGAGAGAGAGAGGGAGAGAGAGAGAGAGAGAGAGAGAGATAGAGAGAGAGAGAAGAGAAAAGAGAGAGAGAGAGAGAGAGAGAGAGAGAGAGAGAGAGAGAGAGAGAGAGAGGATGAGAGAGAAGAGAGGAGAGGAGAGAGAGAGAGAGAGAGAGAGAGAGAGAGAGAGAGAGAGAGAGAGAGAGAGAGAGGAGAGAGACAATGAACGGCGAAGCAAAACGAAGCGAAGGCAAAAAGAGAAAGTGATGTTGAGTGCACGAAAAGATGAACGATAGTGAACCAACAGGAAGGCAGCTGTCGATTGCCGTATTTCCCTCTGCTCGGTCTTGCCAGAACCGCTAATGACGCGCTGCACTGTTGGATTCATGAAGCCTATCATCTGCTGTTGTATTAAAGCATTATCGGATGGAACAGATATCATGTAATAGGAAATCTTAAGTGAAGTGAACTTGTCCACTTTCATTTTAAACATGTGAAGCGGTCATCCCTACAGGCCAAATCAGTATTCATGTTGCGGGCACCTGGGGTCTTGCCACGGAAGGGTGAGACCAGTATCTGGCAAACGAGTCACTAAGCAAGTAACTACATTTCAGCATACATTAGCGGCCTTCGCCGGGAGAAGAAAGCACTCGGTCGTGCTTCTTCTTTGTCCTCTGTCCACATCAAACGGTGAGCACCGTGTCATCGCATGACTGTTGCGGGGTTTTTTCCACCAAAGATTCCAGGGACCGACGACCTCAAGGTATTCGCTGAAAAAAGACTGGGCCGCCGCGATGTCAGGGACGTGAGTTGGGTCAACCATCGAGGCCACTTCGTGGACATGAAGGTGGGTCAATCATCGAAGTCACTCGGCGGTCCTGTGAGGTGGATCAGCCATCGAAGCCACTGGACGGTCATTTTGTCACGGTCAAGTGCCATGTTTTAGATGCTTTAATGAGGAAGGCCTGAAAATAACCACCCGAAGATAGAAAAACCGGATCGGATTCATTAAGCGCGTCGAACAAAACTTGATCTGGACCCGGACAACGTCGTTGATTAAAATGACCACAATAGCGTTCTTATCCATTCTGAAACAGTGATGTAAATTAGCCACCGCAACTATGCCTACGCATCATTCGGGTTTTACAACAGCACCAGACTTTCGTGCACACAACGCACTGCGCTGGAGTGCCATCGCAGATGTGCCGTATTTTCAGTTGTGCGATCTTAAGACTGAATGTTGCACATATGTGTCATGAATGATCGATAGAAGCGCATCTCGTCCCGCAAACTGTTGTCATTGAGCATTCTATGCCCATTTTGTTCTACTTGGCACGGGCACAGGAGTCTTCGGCTGGTGAGCGGATATTTCTTGCAATGACAACAAATGAAAAATAAATCACACTTTTGATATTTTTAGAAACACTTCAGATTATTGTTAAAACGTCCACTTCAGATGACCCAGATCGGTGAGCCACCATCTCATTTCCTCCTCCCAGAGACCAAGCGGAACAGACTTCGTCCACCAGCACAAGTGTCCCGCGAGCTCCCAGGTCGGCTCCCGGTTCAAAGTTCCCCCACCAAATCGCCACACAGTCGCCAATCGTGCTTCACGCTCAGATTCGCTGGTGGTGAAGACGCTTCAAAACGCAAGCTAGGTCTTGGGCTCTTCCTCACGGGGGATATATGGCAGCAGAGAGGGTTGTCGCGCCCAACTCTTAGGGGACTTAACATTCCGAAAAATAGGCGTCCCTTGTTCCAACTGGAATGGTGGCGGAGGCACTGGATCTTATCCTGTCTGACCTTATCTTGTGTTGTCGTTGGTCCAGGTCAGGTTAGATCGACTCGGCGGGTTGGACGTACCAGGTCTTGGCAGTCGAAGCAAGTCCTACCAGGTTAACGGACGTGTTCCACATTGGGGCATGTTTCAAAACATACTGTGGTGAAATCTCAGGATCGGTTACGTCTAATTGCAGCACTGGTAGCGCTTCTGCAGGCTATTAAGATATCATCAGGAGATTACTTTCAATTGTCCTCGTGTCCGAATTACGCTGTCG